AGGGCAAGCAAGAGGACAAAGTAGCTTCAAATATTCAAGGTAAGGCCCAATAGAACTCCATAGCCATAGCCTATATGCATCAATAATTTAGATGGACCTGGGAGGCAAGTCAACCAGACCTGCCCATTTAGCATTTAACAAACATTTAAGACATGGGCAATTTAATTTATGGACAAACTATAGAGAATACGATATTTTCGGAGCAATTATACAACCATTGATTTTGACTTTAGAATTCAGGCTGAAAGAACTAGCACTTTGATCGTTCCTTGACTGTTGGCAGTCAACATTGTTGGGCTATCACTCTTCCAACAGACGGCACTGATGAAATAGGAACCCATGTCATCATCGGCATTAACCATATCAGAACCAAATCTATGCCAAGCAGCGGGTTTAGAGATAGCCTGCATGTATCAACTTAATTAGTAATTACTTTGCCCAAAAACACCGCAAATCAGAGAAGTGTTACCTAACCTTGTGATAAACGAACACTTCATTAGTTTCGCTGCCACACGCAATGTATTCACCGTTTACTGTGAGACCTACAAAGTTCTTCTCATTCGTGTGGCCTCTAAACGTCCGCAACTGGAAGATACAAAGAAAGTATAAACAAAAAGAACAAGAAGATTAGTTTTAGTTGGGATATTTGAGTTGCTTTATAAAGAGAATGTATATCATTACTCAAATGATGGCCGTCAGATAAAAGTTTAAAGTTATGTAAGCAACAAGCGGGTGTATGTAATGCTAATGCAAATGCCAAATTTTTCAATATGAGATTTACAATTTACCGGTAAGTTTTCCTTTACGTCCCATAGGCGCAATGTGCTGTCAGTGGATGCAGAAGCCAGTTCATTGTTAGACAAAAATTTCACATATGAAACGGCTTTTTTATGCCCACTGAATACATAGAGTGGCTGGCTGATATTTCTCAAGTCATAGTAGTGAATTTGATGATCTGCAGAACCAACCTGCAAAAACCAAAAATCAAAAGCTTTATTAACCAACACTTTATGTAGATAGACATCTTGAGTTAGCAATAACAGTGTCTGCAGTTAGGAACCAAAACATACTGCCACGTAAATGCTGGATCCAGGATTATACTTGACAGAACAGATGTTTGCTTTCATGTCGATGTTGAGAACACTTGCTTCTTGCTTAGTGCACCAAATTTTGACCTGTGAAAGATACACAAGTGGTCTGCTCAGAAACCAAACTAAGTAGCCAAATATTCACAAGCTCCATCCACTCAACTAGCAGAACTGATTCATTTTTCAGACAGAAAAACAAGGGATTATGTAGCTATTGCATGTGCATTATATCAAGGACCAGAGAGCAACAGTTTCCTTGCAAAAAGACCAAATATTAACTTCATCATTAACATATCCTGTACTTTTCTCTCTTCAAAGACCAGGTCCACAACTTGTTACAATTACTGTCAAATACAGGACAAACCTGACTTTAGAGGATATTCATTTTACCTTGCAGTCATCGCTACCAGATACAAGCATTGAAGGTTCAGTGCATGAAAAGTCAACACTCCAAGCTCGTTTTTCATGCTCCTCATATTCCATTAGACTCTGTATGTGAAAAGAATCATCGATAAATATTAAGTGCAACAACCAGAAATGATAGAATAATGACTAGCTATGATCTGTTAATACTAAGGAAGTACTGAAGTGAGAATTCATACCTGACGCGTAGTTACATCCCAGACGGTCACTATCCCATCATAATCACTGCTAGCAATAAGGTTCTTCGTGTATTTATTCCAACTCAAGCAACTAAGCTTAGATCGAGTAGACATTTCAACAATGGGACAATGCACGTCTGCTGGTTCATTCACAACCTGTCATAAATGAAATGGCTAACTATTGGTTAGAAAATCAAATCCAATTAGTATAAAGACCCTTATGCATATCCTTATTGCAAAATCATCACCTAAAGAGGTCACTCAGGTAAACAGAAATTATCAATTTAAGCAGTCCTGACATGCAAAAGATTAATAATTCCAATTTCAGTTATTCCCTCAGTGGAAAATTTCATTCAGTGCTTACAGTGGAAAACTCAAAAACTTTGATGCGCCTTGAAACTCCTGCTGTAGCAAACAGCTCATCATCACGATCAAATTCTATACTGCAAATTAATTCTGGTAGTTAGAAATTCTAGAGCTAGAAATTTTTCCTCACATAAAAATATAAAAGAAACATCACACAAATACAACCAAGTCTCAACTCACCTCGAGACAATATTGGCTGAGTGGAAAATGTCTCCATGCCTAAGTTCAGCAATCACTCTCAGTCGACTGCTTTGAACAACAAAAAAGAACAAGTTACTGAAGCATAAACTCTATTTAGATATAACAGAAAAAAGATAGCAGAAACAGCAGAAATGTGAGACCCTGAAACTATAGAGCATGCACAATTTCACATACACATAAAATGCAATCAACAATAGGAAAATTAGATACCTGTATCGTGTAAAGTTAGATAGAACTGACTGGAAATCCTCAAGACCAGGATTATAACCTTCTTGATGCAGTCCATTATATTCCCTTTCTTCTGGTTTATGTAATTGTCTGGTCCATTGCCGCCGTTTTTGCAAGTAGCACTCTTGTAGACCAATGAACTGTGGCAAGAGAAAATAATGAAGAATATAACTCTAACCTATTCAAGTTCCTTAGTTTCCCCATATAAATCTTTGAACAGCATGCTATTATGGGAAACAGATTAAAACAAAATGCCAGAAAAATTGATGCACAAAACAAATTTAAACATAACTCTAGAGCTCTAGCTATTAAATGTTTCAGGAGAGAAGAAACTACGTAGAATGCTTTAAGTCTCATGCACATCTAGTGAGACCATCAGACTACTAGGAAATTATCCTTTTTCCACCACACAAGAAAATTGGTCTTTCTCTGATGTGTATGAATTAGTGGCCTAGAAAAAAGTTTGCATGATCACTGACCTGTGCATCGACCCGCCTTTTTCTTGCTACAGCAAGGCCTGATGGAGTAACATATGATGAATCTGATCCACCACAACCATCCTTATTTTGGAATCCCTGAGAACTTGCCTGAGCATTCACCCCAGTTTTGTTGTTCTGTTGACTGAAGGAACACATCCAGCTATGTCCAGCATGGCCACCATAAATAATGCTATTATGTTTATCAATCAAAGAAGAACAGGGTTTTGCTGTAGTTGGATCATCTATGACCACCCTCGGTTTTATCAAATATCTATCCTTTTCACTGTATAGTTCTATTCCACGTCTCTCTACAGCATTTATGTCCTCTCTAATATATTGCAGATCAGTTTGGATCTACAAATGAAACAAAATAACACAATAATAAAATTTGCCTTATAATAATCTCTTTTTTCTCAAAAGTTGAGGCAGGTAGAGTAGAAATAAGATAATCAAACATCTGAAAAAATGCATTAAAACAGAAGAAGTAATCCATTAATGAAGAAAGCAGCTAAGAAAAAACCTCCTCACATGGCTCTGGCATATCGAGTTTTTCATACAAGTGAAATTTACCCTAATCTCTCACTTCTCAGTATGAATTTCATAAGTGCATCAGTTTGATAAGGTTTGATTTCCAAAAGAATTTATTAACCAAGAAAACATTAGAAGATACTCTCAGCCACCAGAGGAGCATGCATGCCACCTATTTTAACAGAATAGGATAAAAAAGACAGTTTCATAAACTAATGTATTTAAATTCCATTACCTCATTAAGCTCTTCAACCTTTTGCTTCCTTAAGCAATGTAAGAAATCAAGTAGAATCTGCGTGTTTCTCTCTGCTTCTTCTTGTTCCATCTTTCTCTTCTTCTCTGCTAGCAGAGACAACAAGCTATCTAGCTCCTTAGGTGACACCTCACAACCCTGTCTAAGAATTGCAAGAGTTATTCTGTTAAACCACTCAATAATACATGTAAGGGGAAAATGGAATGCCCCACAAACATGTCTAAACAAGGAAAAAATTGGAACAAAGAGCTCTCACTAGTGAACTAAAAAGGTATCCTTACAACAGGAAAAACTACTCATTGGAAAACCAACACTAATGCATCTCACCACGTACAATGGATTTAAAAAACAGCAATCATTTATTATCAATTTCTTAGAGATTATTAGTGCTTCCTCTTATACTTTTATGATTGTCATTCCTGATATAGCATAACTGTTACTGACCTGCTGTATGGCATGACGAAGGTTATCAACTGGGGATGCAGTCTTTGATATTTGACTAGCAGAGGTTTTCTTCAACAACTACAAAATGGAAAACACAGACCACATCAACATGATACATTTGAAGTTCACCATGGATAAGCATATAATTATACTAGCACTGAGAATGTTTAAATTTTACCATCTGGAAAGGCAACCTTGACAGAATAAGATGCCATAAACAGCTGTCTTTGAAGAAAACAAAGGGATTTTTAATAACTTCCCGAGTTAGACTTTCTATACTTGCAGTGGAGTGCCAAAAAATGGATTTTCTTAGGAATGCAATTATCGATTTGCAGTTCATGAACACATTATACACAGCATATTCAAATCTATTCTACTATAGATTCCCTTATATCATCTAACTTCAACAAAGTAAATTTAAATAAGCACCTACGAATCAAACATGATCTGATTCAAATTCTCTGCGCATGACATTCAACTCTCAAACCTCAACTAAAGCATATATACATGCATTTAATCACAAGAAACTAATTAAGCAATCCCGTACTAATTTAGCGACTCGCAACAGGCTTCAAATGCGATTAATTACTGTTGAAATTACCGGATTGAAAAATTGAGTTTCTATTCCATCCAGCACTTTTCTCAACAGCCAAACAAGGATCAGAAAAGTAAGGGAAAGAAAAAAAAAAGCTCACCTTATTTAGCAAAAAATTAGGGAAAATCCGGCTATTAGTGAGATAATGACCGCAACAAGGACAATCGTTCTTGTTTTGGAGATGAGTCATAATACACGTGTAGCAGAAGCTATGGCCACAAGAAGTGAGGAAAGCATCCTTGATTATCTGCATGCAAATCGGACACAGCATGTCCTTGTCAACGTCGAAAGCATCAGAAGAACTAGCAACAACAGGTTCGTCCGCCGCGGACGGAGGCGGAATAGGAATCGGCGGCTGTGCGGAAGTAGCATCCGGCTCAGATTTCGATGCGGTGGTGGGGACCAACGCTCCGCACATTGAGCTCTCTCCCATATTCTCCTCCGAGTTTCCTTTCCAATTGTTCCTTTTACTGCGGATTCTTTCGGTGGTTTGCGTCGTGTTCTTTCCGTTTGGGGAAACGAAAAAAGTTTTTGTGTGGTGGATGTTTGCGTGCAGACTGCAGTGGGTAATGAGTCAAGGAAAGTGATTGTGTTGGTAGGTTGGGGCGTTTGTTTCTGAAAGAAGTAATGAGAGAAAGGGAAAGGAAAAAGAAAAGGCAAAGAAATGAAATGCCCAGAGCGCATGAGTGATTGTGGGAGACCAGAGGGAGGGATATTGTGAGGGTCAAAACGAAACACGTTGGGCGGGTATTCTTCTGATTCGTCTGCTCGGTTAAAAAGGCACTCCTGCCGGATGAAACGATGTCGTTTCATTTCTTGTTTTTGTACCAACCACACTGTTTTACCGTTAAAAGCGTGGCTCATTTGTTTACCATCTATGAGAAGCATTATGTAGAGACTTATCATTGTCAACTACTCTTTGGGAAGTCATAATTAATGGTGTTGTTAGTCATCAACTACTTGCTAAGATATTTTCGCTTTTAGGATTTTCCAAAATCATAATATGTGGACCAAAAAATATCATTGACAAAATTGGACCATTCGAGCATGTTCCGTTTCGATTGCACGTTCTTGCAGGCGTTATATACTTAGTCATGTACATGTCACTTCGTACCATTTGGAAGAGATGCATTGCATACAAATCATGAGGCTCTACCCGTGAAAAAAGTGCGTAAATAAAAATATTAATTTTATTTTTTTATTTATAAATATTAATTTTTATTAAATTTAAATAAAAATATTTATTTTTAATCCTTTTTATTTAAAAATATTTACTTTTATTTTTTATTTAAAAATATTAACATCCAATATTTTTGTTAAACAATTTATTTATTATGTTAACATTATTATCTAATTAATTCTTAAATAAACAAATTAAAAGCTAATATATTTAAATAGAAAAAATTAACAATTAATATTTTTATTTGAAAACTAATAAAATTAACCTCTTTAAATAAAAAAAATATAAAATTAACATTTTTATTTATATCTGTTCTCCACCATTCTTCAACAAAAGTGAGACTGGTCATGAATCAAACTGTAGAAATGAGCTAAAATCCCAATATTTGCCATTCAAGAATCAAAATCATAGATTGGAGTTCTCCCCCAAAAAATCACGTATTGGAGCTGTTTGCTTTTCTATGTATGCATCTCTTTTACTATTTATACCCTCGAATCTCATTCCTTCGCTTTGTTGGACGATTTAAAAGACTTCTGTATACAATCTACAATACCTTCACAATCTGCTTGAGGAACCATACAATCAGGCTCCTCTTCAGGGTCATCCTCTGAGTATGAATGAGGAGAGCGGAGGATTCCATGAGTCTGACAGGCCCTCATTGTCTTACAATGTTCGCCTTCATCGTCTCTTACGTTCAGAAACACATCATACAAATTCTCTGAAATAGAAATGGGAAATCCAATCATTTAAATATACCAAGAACAAATGAGGGATTATAATAGCTGCATGTAGAATGCGCTTTGCAGAATAGCAAAATGATAATTCATCAAAGTAATTGAAGATGAAACAAAAAAAATAATAAATAAATAAATTGAAGCAAACAAGAAAGCATGAAACTTGAGCAACATCATATGTAATCATCGAAATATGTTTTAACTAATTAACTATAAACCAGTAGAGAGACAGAGAGATTACCTATTTTTGGCCTTCGAGATTGAGGAGCTCTAGATGTTTGAAATTCATCTGAGAAAAAATGTGGTTGAATTGTTAAGCCTCCATTATATATCAGAAGACAGGACCATAGCACGTAAGAAGACAAACTCACCAAACAAGTACAAGTCACCTCCAGTGTAGTACTTCACAGCAATCTCGGGAGCAGGCAACATTTTCAACTCCTCTACAAAGAAATGGAAGGTACAAAACATGTCAGAACTGAATCAAGCATAGTTATGCATAATAGACGTGCAAACTGCAGCAGTCAAAATGCTATTAGCAACTTTAAAACTCGTGATTGACCTACCTCCTTTGGCCTTGAGAAATTTGTCATAGGTTTCATATGCATGACTCTCTACACATTCAGAAAAGTGATCTGCACCAGTAATGTAAGCATATTAAAAAATAATAGATAAATGGCAGTATGCAAAGCTAACCAATCATCACCTACTTTAAAAAGGAACTTGTTTGAAGAATCTTAGTTAAAAAAAACTTTTAAAACATCACAAGGTGAAAAAAAAAAGGGGAGGGGGGGGGGGGGGGTAACAAAACAAAGACCAAATTAAAAAAACATCTCCATTTCTTTCAATAAGGAACCAACTAGTTATATACTTCATCTGCTCTCACAAATATGAGAATTCCGCATAGTGGTGGAGTCCCTTAAATTTTGCCCTTTTCTTAAGACATCGTTGGCACCTTTCATTTTTTTTCCTCTTTTTCTTCCCTTTCTTTATTTATTGTCAAACAGTGGTAGTTGCTGGTTTCTAATTTTGCTTGTTTGCTTCATCACGAGAGCATATCACAGTTAGAATAGAAAAAGTTCCTTTTTACATTCAGGATGATTAGAAAAGCAGAATGCCAAAAGAGAGGTTACATTGCAAGAAGAAAATTATAGAGTAAGACCTTGAAACACATACTTACATGCCATTCTGGGGCTTACTGCATACATGAGGACTGTCATAATATAATAAAAGAATGCTATATGCTGGGCAAGAAAGCGGTCAAACCACCAATTGTTTCCTCCCAATTCCTGCATTTAAAAAAAGGATATAATATAAAATTTTAAATATTCACGTACTCCAAAAAAAAAAAAAACCTAAGAAAAAGTTTGAATCAATGCCAATAAAGACAATGGATAAAGCTACAAAACTTCTCATTGGATAGATATTGACATATTAAGATATAGTACAATCAAAAGCAGAACAGCAATGAACACCAAAGTAACTGGGCGACATTTTAGGGAGAGGAGGAAAAAAGACGGGAGGGAGGGACAAGGGATGTCAGAAAAAGATCCATACTTCCATGATAAGCAGGTGGTGCATCTCATTCCAGCTCTCCGCAAAATGCACTTTCAAATAATCTGCTCTTCTCCACCAACCAAAACTCTCATACATATGCAGGACAGACATAAAAGCTGCAACAAAACAAATAATGCCCACAGGTCACAGGAATACCAATTACTGCAGCAACTTGATAAAATAAAATAAAATAAACTAATTTAGTTATACTCTTCTTCACTCTCACAGTACAACATAGAGTTATACAGCTCGAGGTATCTAGAACTGTTCACAGTCCACTTAACACATAACCAGTCGTGAATGAAGCCCTTAAAAGAGGTGAAACATGAAAAATAAAGCAAAGAAACATTAGCACTCACCAAAATATGGAACTCTTGCAATAGTCTCCAATACAAAGAATCTTGCATAATCTCTATCGTGATACAATGCATCAAGGATCTTTATTACTGAATCCTGAAATGATATTCAAAATAATATAGGTTCCCATAACAAATCAAATATTAGAAAAGATAAGGCAAAGATCTCTAAACTCTCACATAACATGTATGCTTGTTACAAGCTCCGATTGCAACTTATGCTTACGCACTCATGTCAATAAAGATATAAAGAATTTCAACTAGACAAAACTCAAAGTCAAGCATGTCTTTTTAGCATAACATATAAAGGAACATAGATATTTTATCAACATAGATACCCCAACCTTGTAGATTCTTTTTGTAAAAGAAGTTTCACATGCAAACTGGTTATTCAAAAACATGAGGAATATTCAAAAGATCTCACAAAACTAGAACTAAAGCTAAGAAAGTCCAGATGATTTACCGTGAGGAAGATATTCACAGATTGTTCAATCTTGATAATCCATTGTTCCAAAACACTCGATGGTGAATTCATTTGTGTCTCCCCGATTCCTTCTTTAATCTCATTTTCTGGGAAACTTTTGGCACGAAAAGATTCTTCTACAACAACTTCTTCCTCATCCTCTTGTAAAGTCGTGGCTTGAACACGATAAAATTTCCTAAAATATTTCAGAAAAAAAAACTTCCGATTCAAAAAATTGTAGAGAAATTAAAAACGTCCAAAAAATAGAAATTTGAGCTTTATTTCCCAAAACAGTTCAGTTAAACGCATGGAAATCCAGTAAATCAACAAAAGAATAAAGCTAGAACTAAGCTAATTCTCATAGGAAAACATAATTAATCATAATAACAAGCATTTCTAGTCATGCTCAGAACGGAATCGAATCAATTCGATAGAAACAAAATACCTGGACAGCAATCGTCGTGAGGAGAGAGGACTATTCCGCAACCGATTCGGAAGACTGAAAGAAACCAAGGTTTTAGACTTGGTTGTTGCGAGGGAGGAGACTGAGATTGTGAACGCGGAGGGAGGGGGAATCGTCGACATTTCTCTCTCTCTCTCCAGAAACGAATATCCGTGGGAAGTGTCAAAGTGCCAAAAAGTAAGAGGAGAAAGAAGACTTGCACTGGCAGCACCGCCTTCGGCTGATAATCGTGCATCCAGCACCTTAATTCTTGTCAAAATTTAAGTTTTATTGGGAGATTTATAATATTTTCCCTTTTATTTTTAAAATTTTTTCTTAAAAACATAAAATATACTAATAATAAAAACTTCTGCCATTAAAAATATTAAAATATTTAATTATAATTATTAAATATGTAAATATAATATAAATTTTAATTTTATTAAATTTAACATATAATTATAATTAAATATTTAATATTTTTAATATTAAAATATCTTAATTTTTATTATTAATATAATAATAAGAAGAAAAGAGGAGGAGAAGACTTGTGAGTTTCGCAGAGATGGCGGTTCGATTTGGGTGGACAAATCGTTAACGGACTTCTTGGGGAAATGGAAACGTTGGGGCTTTGTTTTGAAGGCTTGGTTGGTTGGGCTCATTCATCTGGGCCGAACACCTAAGCCTATATTCAATGAACACTGTGAGCAGACCTCAAGAGTCAAAAGAAATACCTAACGGAAGCAAAGATGTTCAAGAGAGTTTTGTGTTTCATAGTCCAGATACGCCTGAATTGGAGAGAGCTTCAGTATTAGTAGTTTATATTTTGTGGTTCGGACTCGGACACATCTAGCTTCGGTATCAAGGGTTTCGTATTTTGCTATTGGAAACAATTTGGAAGCAAAGATCTTTTTCTAAGTGTAGAGGCAGTTTCATTTTCAAATCAACGGTCTCCATGAACCCCTTTTTATGTTTTCCTTGCGCATATCACGGGAAATGCAAGAAGAAGGTAGGAGGGAAGAGGGTTTATGGGAAAGCTGTAAATAAGGGTTAAATTTTTGTCACTTGTTTTACAGGCTAAACCCAACTGTTCGAGATACCTAACACTTGTAAGTTGTAACTGTGGGTTTGGGCCTCCAATCTTTGCTTAAACTACATTCTCCAGCCCCAGAAGGCTCCCGATAGCAATGCCTACCACATGTTCAATGAATTAAATAACATAAATTGGGCAGTTCTTGGATACATGAATTGATCACGGTCATGGAACAAGGAACCTTTCTTTTTCTTTAGTAATAAAATAAAAGATCGAAAATTCAGGAGGAATTTAACTAAAGGGAAGGAATTCCAGAAAGAGTACAGAAAATGGAAGTGAAGGTGGCAAAACCTAGTTAGTGTCTAAGGGTCTTCGGATTTTTTATCCAAACCAGGGGTCCCATTAACAAGCATATGAATTTTATAGGTGTAACGTGTTAATTCATCCAAAAGTTTGATGATTTAATGAAACACGTATTCAGGGGAGAAGAAAAGTTGAAGCTTGAAACGAGATTTTAACGGATCATCTTTATATGTATATCTCTGAAGTTCAGATTTTGACTTCAAGAAAGTTCCCAAAGCTGTAAAAAATGAAGGTAGAGGGTCCTTGTTGTCAAGAAACAAGGCATATTCAGGCTACATTACTGAGATGGACTTGAGTTGAAGAGCTTCAGATCGTGTCTGAACTGGGTTTACCTTGATCAGTCCAACATTGGAGAATTGGTCTCTCATGGTCAATGTTTTTTTCTTCTAGCCATTAGGGTTCCCATTGTGTCTCATTTTGTTCTTTTTTGCTCTGACTACGATGAGGAGCATCACTAGCCTTATGATGCAGTGGTGCAGCTATCTCTCTCTACTTCTGCTGGGATTTCTTTTGTGTGTCTATCTTATTGGGCTAGAAAGTATAGAGTCGAGAGGTTCCTTTTCTTGGACAAATTGTACAATGTTAGTGAGAAAGTTCAACAAGGTTACGCGGAAGAGCACCAGTTATGTCTTCCATCCTTTCTTTGTAGAAATTGAGCAGGTGATAAGTCAAATCATGCATGGAAAGATCCATTTCACGGATATTAGAGAAGCATTCGGGGTATTTGTTGAATTGATTCATATGGGTATTTTAATGATAATGTGATCTCCTTTACCATCTACATCTTTATATCCAAGTTGTTAGCAATCACTTCAGTCTGGTTTAATATGAGAGACTACTACTTCAGAGTGGAAAAGAGCTACATTTGAGTTCTTTTAGGCGACATTCATCTAAATCATTCAAATCTAATTTACATTGTGTCATTGGAACACTAATTGTTGCAGAAATCAATGAAGTTCCTTTCTATCTTTATCTTCCCTTTTTTGGCTGCTGAGATTGCATATAGAATCTGGTGGTATGCTACGGGAACCACTGAAATACCCTACATTGGTAACACATACATAAACAACACCATTGCTTGTCCATTGCAGTTGTGTTTATGGCTTTATAGAATATCCATTTTCATCCTAGTATGCATTCTTTACCAACTAACTTGCCATTTGCAAATCCTTCAACTCGAAGACTTTGCTCAAGTTTTTCAAAAGGAAATTGAAGTGGGCTTAATCTTAGCAAAACATCTAAAAATGAGAAGGAGTCTCAGGATCATAAGCCATAGATTTCGAGGATTTATCTTATCGTATTTGCTTCTGGCTATTGCTAGTCAGTTCATGGCCGTTTTCATGACCACTCGCTCTAGTACTACTGTCCGTTAAGTCTTTTAGTATAATATTGTCTGGAATGAATCAATGTGCTTAAATTTCAAAAACGCTAAATTTTTTTTTTGTGGTGATTTTTGCGGTTATATTCCATAAGTTTGGTGACAAGACTATTCATATGCCTGAGGAGTGCAACGAAGATCACTCATAGAGCATAGTCTATCACAAGCCTTGCTACCAAATGGCATGTTTGTGCTACAATCAACTCTTTTGATGAACTAGATAGTGAGACTCCAACAGCCTCAGATTGCCTTCGAGCCTACGTTTCCTATTAATGCTGAATGGGAATCAGAAGAAGAAGGAGATGGAGAAAATGATCTAGACAACACTAAGATAGTGCCAATTTATCCTCGTATAATCTCATTCCAGAAAAGGTAGGCATTAGGTTAATAATCACAATCATTGTTTTTCCCTTTTTGCAGGCAATCAAGCTTCATATGACTAATTAAGTGGCTAGCATTTTGCAGCGACATACCTAGAAAACAATAGAGCAAGAATTACAATGTATGGATTCATGGTGGATAGAACAGGGCTCCATACCATATTTGGGATTGAACTAGCTCTTCTACTCTAGTTGCTCAACAAGACACTAGGTATGACTTAATCTCCCTTTTTGCATGTGACTAAGAGAAAATAATATAACCCCAACCTTAGCTAGAGTTTCTCTTGATTTAGTCACTAAATCAAAATATATATGATTGTCCATGGAAGCAACAAACGGCTCTGGCAATTGCATTATCATTATGTGTGTTTGCACACATTTAAGATAATATGGAATCCGTCTTTGTTCTTAGTTATGTAATTGCTAAAATTGGAAGTGATGAAGTATTCAAACTACTAACTTACTCATAGCTTCTAAATCTAAGATAAAAGAACATGGTAGAGAAGTCCAAAATAGAGGAAACTATAGGCAAAGTGGAAATATCAAATATCATATATCATTCCTCTTGAAATTCTCTTTCTCATCTAACAGTATTTAAGTCAACTGTTTAGAAAACAAGTTGGGCCATTGTTTTCTTACAGTGCCCTTGAGCAATAGATTGTGCATACATATGAATCACATATCTAAATGACAACTATTCTTACCTCCTTTTTGCAAAGGGCATTATAAGGTACCAGAGAGTCCTATAGACCCATGTACCCCTGATAACAATAGTTATCTGTTTTCTACTAAGCAAATGTTTATACATTACAATCTAAATGTCCAATTGATGAAATTATGTAAATATATAAAAGATGTTATTCAATAAGTTGAGAATGCACCAAATAAGACAACTA